AGGACAAACATGGTATGTACTCACTCATAAGTGGATACTAGATATAAAGCAAAGAACAATCAGACTGCAACCCACAGATCCAGGGAGGCTACATAGCAGGGGGGACCCTAGGATGACTGTGGCTTAGAATAAGTTTTGGTTTTACTCAATCACTGGGCAAGCCTCAGTGAAACATTTCACTATTAGGAAAAGAATTTGTACTGTATCAAGCTGATATTAGAAAAATAAATAAACAAAAATGAAAAAATCAGTAACATTGGATGAAAAAAAGAAAGAAAGAAAGCCATGTGAGGTGGTGTGGGCCTGTCCTCTAGAGAGTGCCTCTGGAGATCCATGGAGCTAGACTTGCCAAAGAAGGGTCAGTGAAAGACCCATCTCAAAAAAAAAGGGGGGGGAGGCAGAGTGATAGACAAAGACATCCAGCATCAGCTTCTGCCTCCATATGCATGCACACACACGTAAACTCACTTGCATATGCACACGTATATACACATGAACATTTACACTCACATCACACACACACACACACACACACACACACACACACACACACACACACTTCCTTCAATTCTCTCCCCCTCCTGGTGACACTGAGGAGAAATTTCTAGACTGGGCTCAGTCATCCTTACTCCCAGCAAGACAGAGCAGTCCTGAATGAGGCCCCACACAGCTAGCCACCTCTAGCCAGAACTCACTAACCTGCCTTACAGAGAACGTTAGTGCCTTTCTTTATATGGTAACAGATACTAACTGATCACAGTTAGGATATAAAACCTCACACTCAAGTGCATTTTATCTATACAGTAAGTTTACTTTTTAAAAAACACTGTACAAATAAGTTCACCTTGTTTTCTTATAATATGTTCTCTAGTAAGTAGATATGTCAAAGTTGTATTTGGGGGTTATGGGGTGGATAGCCCTGAACCCCTTTGCTGTAAGATTCCCGGGAAAGCCATTCTTCAAACTGTCCCTCCAAAAGAGACAGCTGAGATTGGTGCCATGACGAAGGCATGCCTGAGTGGCATGCCTGAGTGGCATGCCTGAGTGGCATGCTCTGACGAGAGTGGTACAGAACGTGAGAGAATATACCATGGTGGTGATGTTTGGGTGGAGACTTACGGGACAAAGAGGAATTTCCCAGCAGAGACAGCACATGTAAAGGTCCTGGGGCAGGAGGACATGAAACCTAAGGGATTCTGAAACAAGGCTAGAGTGTTCAGGGCACAGCGGTGAGATCAGAGAAGTGGGTGGGTGACAGCATTAACTATTTAAAGAGAGAGGAGTGGACTAGATCCCGGCGCCCACATAACAACCTGGCTGTGGTCTCACACACGCCTTTAACCCAGCACTGACAGACAAGGGAGGATCCCTGGGCCTTGATGCCTTCCAGCCTAGCCAATAAAATGCAGGACCCAGGTTCAGGGAGAGACCCTGACTCTAAGGAATAGGTAAAAAGTGACAGAGGAGGATTGCCACCCCAGGCCCTCCTCAGGCTTCTGTGTGCGGTGCAGGCACCTGTACACATACGTGGGATGCATCACGCTCACCTCACATGTATACGCATACATACACATACATTCCTTCACACCATATCACAAGATACACACAAAGACAGGAAAACGTGCCCATCCTACCCACTCAGGGAATGCTTTCTCAGCCATTCTGAGGAGCACCCCAGGTCTGATCCTTGACCTGAGAGTCTGAGGTTCATGGGGGGGGGGCTCAAATTAAAAATGAACAAATGGTTCCATCAAAACCAGACTTTTGACAAACAGATAGCTGTGGCACTACGGTGGCTGTGTGAGGTTAGAAATCTGGCTGTCTTACTTTGCACTTCCTGGAAGGGTGACTTTGTCAGCTACCTAGGCTCCTAGGGCTTCAAGTTCCCATCTGTGCAGGGAGAGGCCACAGTCTACAGTTACAGTTGGTGGGAGTGGCGTGTCCTCCACTCATAGAGTACCCAGCACAGGGGCTTGCTAAGGAGGCAGACAACCCCTGGCTTAGGGTGTGCTTTAAACTGCTCCAAGAGCAGTGTGTACACATGCTTCTGGTGTCTGAATTCGGGAGCCTGGTTTTGTACTGTCTGTGTGCATGGGGGTTTCTTCACATTTCAGCATGAGCAGGCAGGTACACAAGGCCTGTGTGCTTGTGTGTTCAGTGTAGGGAAAGGGATGTGTGTACACATGCATGGTGTGAACACATCTCTTTGCAGAATTCTGGGTGTGGACCTGCACAGGAAGGGAAACCCACCCAAGCCAGCCCAGTGAATCAAGGAGTGGATGCCCTGGCCTGTCTCCCAGCTCTGTCCAAATCCCCTGAGATTTGCAAAATCGCTCTTGCGAATCCTGCCTGATCCTGAATCTGTCGGGAGCTGAGCTAGGAGTCTCTGGAACAGGCTTCATTTCCAGTCCATCTTCCCAGATACTGGTACAAAGGCACACACAACTCTCCTTGAGGTCCCTTTCCCAGGGTGCAGGTCCAGGAAGCCCAGAGGTACTGCACCCCCCATCCCAGCCTTCCCCCCAGTTGCCTCTACATCTCATGCCTACGGGAGCGCCCCATGGTCCAACATGTGCACATTTAACTTGCCAAATCCAGACGTCTAAAATTGCAAGCACACCCAAGAGTTGGTAAGCAATTCCCTCTTATGCAGTCCGCTGCCCTCAAGGTCCGCCCTTTCCCAGCACTAGTGTGCTGTGCTGGGAGGGGACTTCGATTCCCACCTCATTCCAAACCCCCTACAGGACACGCACTGTCAATCAGTATAAAGTTTAAAGTACTAAAAACACCCCAAGTTTTCTGCATGGCCCAAGGTCCAGAATTCCAGTTCAGATTTGCATTCTCGTTTGGAGTGAGATGAAAGCGTGCATCTCTGCAGAGAGGCCCAGACAGGACGCGGCCCAGGGGTGGATCTGCGCCCCCCTCTTGAACTAACCCTGCCTGGGGCTGTGCAATTAAGCACTGAACCAGACTAGGAACTTGAGGGTCGCTGGGTGCACCCACACCCACCCAGGGCTGTGCCGGGAGAAAACCCAGCAGGATACGGTGGTCCAGGCCCAGGAGGGCGTTACCATGGTGATGCTCCTTGGGTCCCGCGTCTGTCTGCAGTCTCTGTCCGGCAGCGCTCTGGCTCTCTCCTAGCCCTGGAGCTAGTGAAGCGAGTGGGCAAGGGACTCTCAACCCGGCCTCATCCCGAGGGGCAGCCTGCCCTGGACAGGGAAGAAGGAGAGGGGACCCAGACTGAGTAGGCGAGAGAGGGAATGGGGGGGGGGAGAGGCGGGCCACCCGCGGGGGGCGGGGCGGCGACGGGACAGCGGCCCTTTGTGCGACGCCTCGCCCTGCGCCCGCCCCGCAGCCGCCGCGGGTGATGGGAGGCCAGCCTTCCGCCCGCCCCGCACCCCCTGCAGAGGCCACCCGAGCCGTCTGGGGGTGCTTGGCACTGCCCCGCTCTCCCTCCAGTCTCCACTCAAGACTGCCCAGTCAAAACTGGCTTCTTGTCCCTATCTGCAAGTCATTTTGTCACCTGAGCCTCAGTTTCTTGACCTGTAAAATGGGGAGGTGGTGGAGATGACGCTGGGGAGGACAGCATCCTGGAACTGGGGAGCAGAGGTCAATGTTGGTCCTGACAGTCCAGTCTCAGGCTTGGGGTGGTGGCTAACACAGCCGTCAAGAACTTGAAGCTCCCATGACAGAGACCCGATGGTTGTGAGGCAGAGCACAGGGCGTCCCAGACACCCACCCTGCCGGTGCCTTGACCTAGCTAGCACCCCCGGTCTCTGGAACCAAGCATGAAGGGAGAAGGTGTGTTGTTTAAAAGCCCCAACCCGATGTTCTCTGTACTCGGTTTCCGGTGGGATGACTCTGGAGTTAACCGTTTATTATCAAACACTGTGCTAAGTGCTGAGCCGGAACAACAGAGACACCCTGTCCTGGGGACTGGGGGTGTCTTCTACCGGGAATGGACAAGAAAGAGAGGAACACGATGATAAAAAATAAATAAAATAATAATAATAATAATAATAATAATAATAATAATAATAATAACAACCGAGAGTTAACTGCTGAGAAGGAATGGAATTGATCAGGAATCCAGCGAAGGGGACATTTGACTGCTCTTCTAGAGGACCCAGCTTTGATTCCCAGCACCCACAGGGCAGTTCACAACCATCTGTGACTATTAGTCCTAGGGGTCCAATGCCCTCTTTTGGCCTCAAAGGGCCCCAGAAACACACACATGGTACCCAGATACACACAGGCAAAACACCCACACACGTTATAAAACAAGAGTGGCCAGACTGAGTGGATGGGATGGGGGCAGGCAGCAGTAAGATGGAGTTATAGACCGTGAGAACAGCACATGCAAAGCCTCCAAGGTAGTGCTGAGCCTAAACAATGGGGACAAGTGAGCAGAGAACAGAGCGGATGAGTGTGGTGACAAGGTTTTCATCATGTCCCACATGGCCCACAGCCATGTCCCACCCCACACTTGAAAGAACCTGAGTTAGGAACCATCCCATCTTGTTTCATACTTTTGACAAACCCCTCCATGCCCCTCAGGCCTCTCTTTATTGGACTAGTAATCTGCAGTAGTTTCACTATGCTCTGGAGTTCCAGGTGTCCCCTTGGGGACCTTGCTTAAACACCAGATAACCCCTCCCTAAGAGGCAAGAGGCAGACTAGACGGGTGGTTTTGTTGTTGTTGTTGTTTTGTTTTTTTAAGACAGGGTCTTGTGTCTCCCAGCCTGGTCTAGAATTCTGTACGAAGCTGAGGATGACCTTGAACGTGTGGTCCTTCTGCCTCTAACCTCCCAAGTTCTGGGATTACAGGCCTGCAGCACCACATTGTGTTTTATGTGGTTCTGGGGCTTTATACCTGCTAGGCAAGGTCTCTACCAATAGCCCTAACCTAGGAATGCATTCGTTCGGGAGAAAATGGCCTTTGGTTTAGGAGGCAGAATTCAGCTAGGTGGTGGGGGTTGTGAGTTCTGCACAGCAACGAGACAGAATGAACACCATGGTCAGTTTTCCAGGATCACAGGAAGCAGAAAGGATTCTGAATTATTTAAGCAGAGAAAATTGATTGAAAGGGTCTCAGGTTCTCACAGAGCCTGTGAGAAATCTGGGGCCCCTCATCTGGGAAGCAAGGGAGCAAATATACTCCAGAAGTCTCACTGTTGGAAATGATCTGGAAGCCCCTGAAAACCAGTGGGATTACTTCAAGCCATGAGCACACTAAAATATAACTTTCTGCTCATCAGACACTTTTGCAAGTAAGCCACATGACAGGCCCAGCCACTGGCCTCATTTTACAGATGAAGAGCCCGAGGCAGAGTCAGGCAGGGTAGAAAGCTGCATTCCTGGACTGAACAAGGCCGTCTATTCTAGAAATCACATCATTAACTACCTTGGTGTGCTGCCTGAATGAATCCCAGACATTCCTCTTGCTTGGGTCACTGTTCTAAAGCCTTACAAGGACAATCTAATCAGGCCATGCCTACGTGTGCCCAGAATCCAGTAGGGTTATCCATCTGAGGAAGAGCTAGTCACCCAAGAGGAGGGGGAGTAGATATGAAATGGCCTCTAAATGGAGGCACCAGTGCAGTCCACTGCTGGGCCTCTCAGCATCCTTCATACCCTATGCCCATGCATGCTCTTCCAAAAACGTGCTGTACTGATGTACTGATTGGGTGTAACAATTTGACAGGCACCCAAAAGTGTGTCTGCTCATGCGTGCATTTCTGCTTGTGCACACACTTATGTGGTCTGAGCCCATAGAATGCCCCTCTGAGCTCCAGATTCCTCTCTTGTGTGCAGAATCCCACTTCTCCCAGGACTGCTGTAGGGCTTCATCAAGCACGCAAATGTTAAAGGCTCTGTTCAGTGCCAAGAACAAAGGAGAATTCAGTTTTTAGACATAAAGAAGTGTGGCTTGTGCAGGGACCAATGGTTGTGAAAATCAACCCCCAAATATCCAAACTCAACTCTTGGGCTGGACTTGGTCCCTCTGGACTTTCCAGGGGATTCCCAAGGGTTGGTTAAGTATTCACATTCTCTCCCTTCAGCCAATGAGTAACTGAACCATGTCCAATTGCTGGGCTAGACTTGGAGAAACCAAACCCACCCCCACTCATGTCTGACATCTGTTGGAGGATGGGAGGTGACATGGGAAGAGTTTCTGTTGGTAATTCCTTGGGTGGTCCTGAGAAGATCGCATCCCACCCGGAGCCAGAGTTTCTTCAGCGGGCAATGGAGTTTCCAGATGCTCCTGGCGATGAACTGTGGGAATCCCCCGAGATACTTCAATGAAAGGGTGAAAACCGAGCCTCGATTATGAGAAGTCTTAAGCGACTGAGAGTTCTGCCTGTGACCTTGAGACTTTTGGGGCCAGGTGCTATGACACGTCTCCAAGAAGGACAGGCTCGTCTTGAGAAAAGGGAGTTGCCAAATTTAGGGGGAATGTCATGGGATTCAGAATATATTAACTCCTTTACTAAATATTTGTTTCTATTGTAAGGATGCCAGACACTTGGCACTCGTCTATGTGCTTACTCTTCCCTGACCATGACAGACATTACTAATCAATCACATAACTTCCAGTAGAACGTAGAGGCAGCTGCAGAATCCTCCTCAATGTACAGTACAAGCAGCTGCCACCAGTCAGCACAGTGATCATGGATCTCACATTCATTTGTCATCTGTGGTCTGAAACATTAGTGTGTGTTGATATGGAGAAAGACACCACGGGTTCCCAAGGCTAAAGATTTGGCTCTGAGTCTTGCCTTAAAACCTCTGATAGATTGGGAGTGTGACTCAGTGGTGGAGTACTTGCCTGGCATGTGTGAGGAAGCCCTGCATTCTATCCCCAGCATAGCAAAGACAGATACAAGTCATACATCTAGGGCCCCTGTGAGAATGAAGAGATATTTCTGTGGCAAATATAATCCATGGAGACCCCCTCAATAAGAGCGAGAGTCCTGGGAACCTTCAGGATCAGGTTTGTGGGCAGCCCACCATGAACATCTTCCCTGGTACATTTTCTGTGGCTGCAACACAATACCCTGAGGCAGAACATTTTATGAAGAAAAAAGGTTTACTCAGTTCTTTAAGAGCTGGAGTTAAGATTTCAAGATAAAGCAAGTGTTGACTGTAACAGACACCAGAGAAAAGTATGACAGGCAGGCGGGGCAGCAAGTGCCATGTGTCAGGGAGTGTGAGTTTTCTCCTGGGAGGCATGAGAAATGGGGAGGGAACTAAAGAAGGGTTGCCCTGAGACCCCTCTAACTGCTGGGTGGGGGAGGTATTAGAAGGCAGTGGGGGTTGCTCTGGGGCCCCGGGCTGGTGTCCCACAGGCTCTGAGGGGTGTTAGGAGTCCCAGCACCTCCTCAACCTCTACCCTTGGGTCCTATACCCTGTAACTTCTCTTTCCCTTCCAGCCCAGCGCTGTCTGTCATTATTGGAGGACAGACCCCATGGCTGATGCACACAATGGCCATGAACTCCTAGGGCCTGCAGGTGGTGGCCCTCTTCATCTGGAGAGGCAGCTATGAGCTGCCAGCTGAGGGAGAGAGGACAGCAGCCCTGCCCGCCTTGGGCACTACTTAGGGCTTCCTGCTTTTCCACATTGTCCTCTCCCGTTCCAGAAGATTACCTTTTCACAATACCTACTCCTCCTTGGAGGACCAAGACCTCTGAGAGGCCCTGCCTAGCGGCATCACTGCTCAGGGTTTTTCACCCACCCCCTCAGGAGTTCACCTTCTGTTGTGGGAGGCTACATCAGGCATGGCTGGCTGTGGACACAAACATAGTTGGAGTCTAGAGGAGGAACTCAATCACACCCCCTCGGGGTCAAGTCAGAGAAGGTTTTTCAGAGAAAAGGACACTTGCCCTAGGATTTTCAATGAGAAATGTAAGTTCACTATGGGGAGAAAGATGAAAAAACACGTGAAGCCAAGGACACAATGTATGAGGCTGGTCATTGCTAGCCATCTCTCTAAGCTTGGAAAGGGGCTCTGTGCCCATAAATGTTTGTTGAATGAATGTTTGAGGGGAAGACAGAACTCTGGTGTGGCTGCATCAGAGTTTCAAGACAGGCAGTGGATCCAACCAGGCAAACAGAAAGTTAAAAAGATTATCAAAACTTGGGGCACCTGCTCTCCAGCTCACCAGAGCTCACAGCTGTTCATCTGCTCATTCATGTGGCCCACCTGCACCCAGTGGACATCAGAATTGCACCACTGATTCCACATGATCTGCT